ATGAGACATCCTCCACCACGCTTGCAATCTCTGTTTGCACGGTGTACAGTGTAATCATCGATACCTATATGCACATCAAGTACAGAGGATGAGCACCATGACTCAGTAATCAGAGCTACAGTAGGCTTGGCGACTAATAATAATGTCCTTAGTTCAGATATCTTATTGATTAAGGAACGTGCATTAATTAGCAATATCGTGAATAAGTCACGGGATACTACAAACTGGCTTAAAATGTCACCATAACCTAAATCTATTTGTGCGTCAGCACCGCAAGAATTTATGAATGAAAAGGAGGTCGGACTGGGTGTCTGTACATCGGGTTGGTGTGCAATGAGGTGGTCCTAGGTGCCATGGGTCGTACCAGTGATTCGGGACACCTGGAAAATTTACCATGTGTTCCTGGATATAAGGGTAGTACAGGTTGGGCCTAGGTTGACGGTTAAAAGGCATAGCATCAAAGGTCTACCCATCCAACTGCTATTCGTCATACCGGTATACACCTTCGGGTTGTTTTTATAACTTAAAGGGAATTGTGAAGGAAGGTGCTTTGGCTGCAAGACTTTAGGAGTCTTGGAGCCTGACTTTCTATAAGGTGGAGCATGCGGAACACCTCCAGATATACTTATGTTTCGAGAGGAGTTTTTCGTAACAAGTGATGGTTTGTTGGCATTCTTACTCTCAGCAGGCTTATTGAATACAAAGTATTCTTCCCCATCATTAGTCTCAACCCTGCGAAATTTGTTCATCGTGGTGAGGTTACTACGTTTGGGGGGAAATTTCTTAGAACAACTTGCAGAAGTTCTAGTCATTTTAACATCTTTCGATGAGGCTTTATTTACAGGGGTACTGGTATCTAAATCAGTTCCTAGTTCCATTGGCAGGTGTGTTTGTTGTGTAGTTTGCTGAATGCTAGTTTCAGCACTAGGTGTCTGTTGCTGTGCACGATCCTTTTTTGGTAAATCTAAGCTAGAGGAGGTGACCAGGTTATTACTACGCATTATTCTGCGCTGACACGGTGTTTTATCCTGAGCTACGGTTATAGACTTATAACTGCTATTCAGTCTTAAGTGATCCTGACATTTAGTAAACTTACTAGCATCAAGGGAATTACTGAATTTAAAAATGATTGGGCAATTAGCCTGGTTAGACTTTTTACGAAGTCGTTTGCATTCACATGGAACACTAGCCATGCCGCAACAAATCAGGATTTTGTGTCTTACAGTTTTCAGGGGCAGAGAATCTGGGACGTTGTAAACTATAGCTTGGTGAGAAGAGGTTATACGCTTCATCACCTCCGTAGCCAAGCAGTCAATCAGATTTTCAGCTTTATTTAGGTTGTCTGGAGATATTTTAGGATGTCTTTTTAAAAGACAGGCTATTGGGTCTAAATTCAAAAGCTTATTTTGAGTTACATCCAGTAAACACTTAACCTGGCCAATATCAGAACGGCTCTCCGTGGTATTTGAGATTGGCAGTGACATACTATCAAACTGATCTAATTTTTTCTGAATTTCACTTACTTGCCTCTGCATATCTTTCAAAAGGAGGTTTAGTTTACAGAACTCAGAGTTCTCTAACAGAACATCTTTCACCTGTATCACAGGAGTGAGATCTGCACTCAAACCATTTTGAGAGCTAGTAGTTGATACTGTATTACCAGGCGGTAATGCAGTTATAACCGAATTTAAGCCACTATCTAAAACAATTGTGTTTCTACGAACACGTTTTTTAGAGATTTGGACCATAATTTCAAGAATTATATGACAATAAGCAGTAAATAAATTTCAGAGCAAACACGTGCAAAAATGTCACCAATTTCGAACGTACCGCCAGACACTTGCGAGGCTGGGAGGAGACAACACAGGAAGAGAGCTGACCATGGGTCACGAGGCCCTCGGTGAAATGAACGACAATGGTGAACTCTTCACAGACTTCTGCGGCTTCAATGATTTGGTGATTGGTGGCAGCGTGTTCAAACACAAGGATATACACACAAGGTGACATGGATTTCACCAGATGGACACACCTAAAACCAGATATACTTCATTTTAATCTCGGGTAAGTCGAGACGGAGCCTAGTGGACACAAGGTCGAGGAGAGGAGCAGATGTGGGTTCAGACCACTATCTAGTACAAGGGACTTTCAAGGTGAAGCTAAAAGCCTCGAGGATAGCTGGGAACTGGCCACAATGCAAGTTCAACACTCAATTACTGAAGGACACAACCACAAAAGACACCTTCACTGCAACTTTCAGAGCAAAGCAGGAAACACTACGTGACATCACTGAAGAATCATGCGTGGAAGAACATTGGAAGTCTCTGAAGGCGATTCTCAACGAAACGTGTTCAACGGTTCTAGAAGGAAAGAAGAGACAATACAAGGGATAGCTCTCAAAGGACGTTTGTAAGCTAATGGAAGAAAGGAGAATGGTGAAAGAGAAAACGATTCAATGCGAAGGCAGACAAGAGAGGGAGACGCTGAGCTCAACGTACACAGCACTGGACAAAAGAGTGAAGAAGAGCGCTAGGAAGGAAAAATGACAATTCTATGACAACCTGGCCACTGAAGCTAAGAAGGCAAAAGGGACCTGAGGACACTATTTCAGGTAATCAAATCTCTATCCGAGAAGAGATTAGCACAAGTGAAACCTATAAAAGACAGCCAAGGAAACCCAATTACCAAGGAAGAAAAACAGATTAAACAATGGGCGGATCACTTCAAAGGACTCTTGAACCGACCACCACCTGCAGCCCATCCAGAAATACCAACAACAGCACGTACACAACTGCAAGTTGACACCAATCCTCCAACGAAAGCTGAAGTCTTGAATGCAATCAAGTTTCTGAAAGCTGGAAAAGCAGCTGGACCAGATGGAATATCCCCTGAAGCGCTGAAAGCGGACCAGAGACGACAGCAGATATGCTGACTCCATTATTGCAAAAGGTTTGGAAAGCACGAAAGGTGCCTACTGACTGGAAGAAAGTTTATCTCGTGAAACTACCAAAGGAGGGCGACTTAGGACTCTGCAAGAACCGGCGGGGAATCATGCTCCTATCGACGCCAAGTAAAATCCTGAGTCGCATCATCCTGGAGAGATTAAAGGACGCACTGGATACAGAACTCCGACCAGAACAAGCTGGCTGCATTCAGGAAAGGTAAATCATGTACTGACCAAATTCCAATTCTACGCATCATCATCACAGATCAAAGTATGGAATGGCCATCAATCAAACCTCTACCTCAACTTCATAGACCTCGAGAAGGCCTTTGACAGCGTTGACCGTGAAGTAGTTTGGAAACTCTCGAGTACTACGGCGTACAGTGCCCCAAATATTCATCAACCTTATTCAACAGTTGTACGACAATGGGACATGTCAAGTGATCCACAACGGAAAACTCAGCGACGCGTTTCGAGTAAACACAGGAGTCAGACAGGAGTGCTTATTATCACCAATGATATTCGTAATTGTGGTGGACTGGATTATGGTTCAGAGAGTGGGAAACGAGAAGACAGGGATATCCTGGACCGACCAACGTGAAGAACCTAGAAGACCTGGATTTCGCGCGCGGGTGATTTATGTTTGATGTCACACAAAATCGAAGACTTACAAGCGAAAACCGAAAAACCGGTCGAAGAAGCAGCAGGCGAAGACAGGACTCCAGGCGAACATAGACAAGACGGAGGTTATGAAAATAACCAGCCAACCAACCAACAACAACAACTGCAGCAACATCCAGCGAGAATCACCATCAACGGGAGGGATTTGAAAGAGGTCACTTCAGTCACTCACTGATCTAGGGGGCATTGTCCCAACTACAGACAGCCGGGGCGGAGGAGGATGTCAAATCGAGCGAGAATCGGGAAGACGAGGAACATATTCATCAACCTGAAACAACCAATCTGGAAATCTTCGTCACTCAGCCAGCATCAGCAACAAAATTCGGTTGGATTTTCAATACAAACAAAGTCAAGTCAGTTAGCTCTCCTGTACGGATCAGAAACTTGGCAGGCGGGTCACAAAAATATTTACCACAGGCTGTTGCAGACCTTTATCAACAACTGTCTTCTCTCTATACTGAACTGAAGATCAGATGGTCGGGCTGGAAAGGATCACCAACAAGAAACTATGGCTGGGAACAAACACAACAAGAACCAATCGCCCAAAATATATGCAGGAGAAAGTGGAGATGGACTGGACACTCGCTGAGGAGGCCTCTGAGGGACATCACGCGTCAGGAAATTGCTCGAGTGGAACCAAGCCAAAAGGGAAGTGGCGAGTTGGTCTTCAGTGCAAGGGTGACATGAAGGAGATCGTGTGAAGAGGAGTTGAAACAGTATGGACTAACACGGATGAAGGTGAAAAGTACAGGAGAAAACAGAAGCAAGTGGAGGCGTGCAGTTGAAGCCCTATGCTGCACTAGGAACCCAAGGGAACAATAATAATAATAATATGCGGAATGTTTCCATTTTTAACAATAAAATTTTTCCAGACTCCTCAAACTTATGGCCCCCAGAGCCGAAGCAGGTGAGTATCGTGAGTACATCAACAGAGTTAATTTATCCAATAGGTTCTCAGCATTATGCCATATTTTTTTAGCGTAAATATGACTCTATAACATTGTGAAACTTTATCAAATGAATTTAATCTGTTATGGAATTATGCGCTGCAACAGTGCACAAGTTCTATTTTCATGACTCAACACAACTCAGGTAGCAACATTCAGCATGTGATATCGGTAGCCCAAATTTTGCAGGCCGACCAATTGATATCAGCTGTGCATCGGTTGGTGATCCATTCCCAGACGATGTGTGTGGTCCGCGAAAATCCTAACCGCCGTGCCACCGACTCAGGATCAGGAGTAACTTTGTCAATATCAAAAAACCAAAGCAAAATAATCAGATAACCTCATACTAGCTTGTCGGAAGTATATTGGACGCCGTAAATATCTCGTTGAGTATTACGTGTTCGCAGTTTTCAAACTGAGAAGCTACGATAATGTCATTAGATCCGAAGTATGCGAATTTGCCGTGGATTGTAAGTGCAAATAAGCAAGAAATCTTATTTGAATTAAGGCACATGGACAACCTGATGTTTATGAGGCTGGAGAACTGCCAGAGGCTGATCAAAATATTCAGGTGCTTTCTATTATATATATGTCTAAACGTTTAAAGGATACGTTTCAAAACACAGTGACACCAAAAGAAATCGAAATTGTCAATCTGTCGGTATCCGAGGCTCACAAGAAGTTTGCTAGCTCCAAAGTCGACGCTTCCAATGTCGGTTAGTTTTATCGGTAGTAAAGTGACTGCAAGCTTAAGACTTTTCCGACTGTATATCAGGCAGTGGCAAGATTGGATATGCCGTCGAGACAAATCAATATGATTTTGTAAGATTTACTGGTTGAGTATTATTTCCTAGCTTCCTCCTGAGTCTAGGGACCAAGAATCGCTTTTAAAAAGATTTCAACGTTTGCAGATTGAAACTAATCAGCTGATTAAGGAGATTGAAAGCATATCTGATCAGAGTGAAGTAAATCCCAAGGAACCTATTTCTGCATCAAAATTGTTGTCTTGTGCGGAAAAACTTTCCGAAAAGTTAACTGAAATACAGTCTACTGATTTAACTACTGCCTCTTTGGATGGATCAGATGCTATCGGGAAAGTATTGCATAGGTAAGCTTTTTTTAATTAAAGCTGCAAGATAATGTATCAAACTGCACCTCAGTGTCATAAATTCATCAGTAGAATTCTTCAGTAAGTGTGTGTATATACTTGGACTAGTTTTAATTTTAAAACCAAATGTTCGACATAATTTCTTCACTGATGCATAGTAATGGAGATAAATTTTATTCAGATTACCTTACAGTAATAGTATGTTTTGTGCTCATAGTGAATCTACCGGGCAACGAAGTATTCACACGTCGTTTATTTGCTACTTTGCCCTCGTTAACACAGTAAGAAGACATGCTTTTTTTCGTCCTGTAATTCTGCATACTAATATGTAAGTTTTGTCTTCTAATTCTGTGTATAAAGCTGAGCATTGGAACGCAAATTATTTGGTCTTTATACTTTGAATGTAAAGCTGATACCAAATCCATTATTGCATAACTAAGACTACGTCAAATTCTATTTAATTCCTGCAGTTGTCATTTCTAAGATTATGGTCTTCGTGCGCTCATGGATTCAATAAAAATAAACAATCCGGTTAAGTTGTTACTTCACTTGGCTATCTAAGAATACTGGGACTCTTACTCAGAACTTAGCCGGTGTATGCAGGACTGGTAATACTGTCTAGTTGTCCAGGTTAAATTAGGTGGATATGCAGTTCTAATTAGAGGCCTGCTGTCTGTAAGGTAATTGCTCAGTTTGTGAGTCACATCACTACTCAAACAACAAAATGACTGGATGTAAGTTTCAACTGCTTGTATATCCCCCCTCAAAAGGAAATGATCGGTATTTGAGTTGGTCCTTCAAGTATAACAAAGCATTCGTTAAAGTGATAAACGTAAGCGTTAGTTAGTATGTTACTTTGCCTTTAATATAATGTTGATTTTCCTGTCATTTGCTTGAACCGAGATGTCTGGTGTCTGTTGACATATCGGCCCCTAGTGTAGACGTTCCAGCGATATCTTTGGCATTTAAAACGATGAGTACTGAGTTCGAGCCTCAGCGGGAACACCATCAATAACTGGGGAGCGCAGGCACGTATGGATGACGGGTAACAGATAGAACAAAATGCGCATCCTGGATTTCACTGCTAGTTACTATCCAACAAAAAAGTCACCACAGATAAGAACAATTTTTACTCACCGTTGTAGTTTACTTAATATCATCTTTGGGACTTCCAGGTCACGAATGTATACGGCTCTTCACGACGCATATTTAAGCTTAGATGGAACTTTCGGTTTACAAACAACATATATCTACTCCTAACGTTTTCTGACTGTATTGTTTTTCCCTTTGTTAGTTGTTAGGATATTTCAACATGCATTGTATGGTGATGGCTGTATTTTCTTTGACTTTAAGACTCATCAATTGGTTGGAAAATTTGTCTTTTTACATAGGTCTGTCCGATTAAGGCTCATTAATGTCATTGACGTTTTATACAAAAACATCAGCTAGAACCGAGACGTACAACTGCGCATCTCGAATGTCTGTCATCCAGCAATGAGAATAAACAAGGTTTTTCGATCTCGTCATTTATCTTTTCAGGTGGTGACATTCTGAAGGCAGCTTAGAATAATGTGGGTGGTGATGTAAATCTATCTACCCTCCTCAAAATTTTTCGATTGGATAATGTAGAAGATATCGTACCATAACATACGGGCTTCTCGAATAGCACTTAATAAGTTAGCATTACTGTTTGTAAGTAGTGTGCTAAGTCACAAGCCTCTCTTTATGTCTATAATCCTCTTTAGATGTTGACAGCTAAATTCTCGTCCATTGAATCTACTCCAAGTACACAGTAAGCATGACGTAATGTAGTAGGAAAATATTATCAAAATATAACAATGGAATTCTATAAATTATATCTGAAAGTTATCTGAGTTTCTTGATGTAACTTGAAGAAATAAATTGTGCTGGAAAGGTCATCAGTGAATAAGTAATACTGTCATATCAAACAAATTATTCTGTTATGGAATTTCAAATTACCTACATATAATAAGTTTAAAACTGTGAGATCTTCGTTAATCTTTACATTGGTAACGTCTCAAGATTTTTTTATGAAATTAGTTGATAATACTCTGTTTCTCCTAAAAGCAGCAAATTAACCAAGTATCAATAATTTTCAGCAAAATTTTGCAGCAAATCGATGAGTTCAAACCAGAAAAACCAATGTCCAGAAAGGTAGATGAGTCCAACCACTTAGTTTATGAAATATACGATGGTAAAAGCATCATCCAGCAAGCAGATGCTGAGAAAGTAAGTATTCATATAGTGTCTACATTTTTTTAAATAACCGACATCCTTTTTGATGTTTTGAACTTCAGTGAAACAATTGTTTTACACTAATTAGCATATTAGCAGAAGTTGATCATTCACCTTATTGCTTCAGAAAAATTTGCACTGAACTCAAAGATGCGTTTGTTAGTTTCTCCCCTATATTCATTTAGTATTTAGATATTAGCTAGGGGTCGCTCTATGTCGTGAATTGGCAGAAGTTAGAATTCATGGGCCATTGGATCGGGTCCCAGTGGCTTAATGGTATACGACCTCGCCTTGTAGCCAGAAGGTCCTGGGTTCGAACCCCGGTGGGTGCGTACTGATGAAGAATCGCAGACTAGGACGAAACAGCTGTCCAGTACTCCCAGGTTTTCCAATAGTTCTCTAACCAATGTCAGCTCATGATGAAATCCTGTAACCAGTCGAATCCCTACAAACCAACACTTGAATAGTATTTAATCGTTTTTAACCATTGTCAGCTTCTGTTTTGAATGAATAATGGAATAATAATGACTAAGTAGTGGCAGCTCGAATAGTATTGGGACTGATTAAAATGGTCAGAAGAAAATTAGTTATTTTTACTATGGAGAACTATTTCATCCTGCGTTACCTATAAGATGAGTTGATTAGGTAAGAGTAGCTTTAAAATGCTATCAGTTTGCCTTCCCAAATACTCTACTTACTGTTTGTTGTTACGAATTCAGCCTATCCTCATTCTTTCTAAGTCTAAAAACAACTCATCAATTTACTGAGAAAGCAATTGCTTGAATAAAGTATGTATACATTTTCATATAGCTTTTGTATCATTTGGATTTCTCTGATTTGATTGTTCATTCCTAGTTGGCAGATATTGATCGTCGGATTCATCATATAGAGACTCTCATTGGTCAACCAGATCCCAATAGACTGTCAGCTTTGACAGCAGATACAGTGACTCATGGTCTTTTAGAAGCATGCTCACGTTTATCCGCTCGTTCGTCGTTGTTTCAACAAGGACATCTTGATATGATTGAAGCTCGTCTAACGTCGCTGCAGACGAAGTTACAGACTGTAACCGAGAAGAGGGAAGCTATTGCGGACTATGATATGCAGAATAAGGTAAGCTGAAAACCTAGTACACTTTCAAGTGTTTGGGTTATTCATTTAATTGATTTTATATATATTTATAGTGGTTTGTTACTGGACTGTTTCCTTATAGAAGTGTTTAACAAATTCTAGGTATTTTTTAGTTTTTAAATTCACAAATAATTTTATCATTGAACATTACTTTTGGTAAAGTTTGTAAGTCTTAGAAAAGCTAAAATAAATGCAGCGACCGTGTGTGAACCATTTCTACGTGTGTATTTCTCACTTATAGGTTAACCAACCGGCATTTGTATCTCTAGGTGAACCCTCAATCATAAAGTGTGGATGATATTATCCCAACATACTTGAGAGGGTAATTTTTCTCAGATGTCAGTCAGACTGAAAGTTAGAAATACTTCATCTGGATTTATCTAACTTTTTGTACTGGATCACCACTTTACATTATCAAATACTTCTTCCAGGCAGTCATTACCCCGAATGCCCTTCTATTAAGTGGTAGGGACCTGTTTTGGATTGTAGTCTTTTAAAGACAGGTTTTGCAGTTGGATCAAATGCAATGGTGTAACGGCAGAACACAAGAGTGGCTGGTAACAGAACGTTTATTTGCAGTTTGGTATACACATATAGGGAAATTATGTATTCTACATATGAAAAATGTCATATGCACAGATCCTTCATGTGTTGTTACTTCTGCTCTTCGTATTACGTTTCTTTGTCTTCTTTTCGTGTCCTATTTTTTGCCATATTACGGGTTCACTCTTTGGCAGCAAATCCATGTCTCCGCTACTTGATGTATTCGTGTGCATGAACGTTTCTTTATATACTACTGATAAATTATGTCAGAAGTACAACAGTGTAACTCATTTGAACTGTTTTCTAAAGCGCTCTACCAAACGATCCAGATACTTTTTCTAGTAGGTCATTTAATATGTACCTATCTCGGAAACCATTTCCTTTGTCACAAAAAATTTGGAGCTTGCTTCCTGTGTGGCTCTAAGTAGCTGATGGGTATTATTTATTGCTGGGGTTTCTTCCGGTCCTTTCATTTTGTTGCCTATATGAGTTCATAGTCGGCACTAAGGACTCTGGTCATTTCACGTTTGGGCAGCTTCGTTCCTTAGCAAGTTATATAAGCTTGTCGTTACCGACCAGTTCAAACAAAGTAGCGAAAATCTTCTAATGACTGTTTCATAGTGCAGAAAACTAAACAACTTCTGATAGATACCATTAGTCTAAAAGAATTTTCTGGTTTAGTGTTCGCTATAGCTGGGTTTGAGAAGCAAGCTTGAGCACCATATCAAGATAGTACTCATGGGGCACGAAGTTGCCAGAGTATCCGTTGAAGTAGCACTCTCACTATGTCTTCTCTATGGTTGTTTATCTATGTTTCGAGTAAATAATGAATTATTAATATTAGGATTTTTAATCCCTTTTATGCTTGGAAATAAGCAAGGTCCCATAAATGCTTTTCATTTTAGCAGTACACTCTGCCTTATAGATTTATCCTATCTGCCGTTTTTTATCAGTGTTGTGTTATTCGATGTAATGGTAAGTTGGAAGTCAATGGAAGACACTAGCCAAGAATTTATGAAGTTGTATTCCGTTTGCATACAGCTAAATGGTTTGTTGAAGCTCAAGTGGGATCAATACATGCCTTCATCTTATTGATTATAATATAGCACTCTTCTTTTTGTCTCACCTTTTCTGTTGTCTTGCAGTTCCCTGTAACATCTAATCGTGCTACTTCAGTTTCTTTCTACTGTTCCTACATATTAAGTATGGAAACTTGGGGTTTTGTTGAGAAATGCTAGATACTATACCAATGGTGTTCTCATCCTTCCACTCTAAAAGGTAGACTCAAAAATCTCATCCTTTAAAGCTATTCAACCCGTCTTAACTGCATAATATGTAATAACACAAATAATCCGTCACAATTGTTCCGTAGAAACAGTAGTGTAGACAGTAACCCTTTTTCAAAAGTTGATACTCATTCCGATTACAGCTAATTAGTGACTGTCTTATTCATACTGTAGTATTTTTGTCAAGTGACTACAATGAGCTTCGTAAAAATGATACCCTAAGTCATATGGTATTGTGTTGAAGCCTAAATCTACCGGTTTCATGTCTGTTGTGTGTATCAACCACATAGTATGCCTTCTCCAATATTAATTTAAAAAGATTCGCACGTTTATCTACATTCCTCTTGCATTAAAAAAAATCGAGTCTTGGTATCCTATCGTCGAAGACTGCTATGTATGGTTATATTGACGGCGTTCTGACAAAATTTCAAGATTATACATTGTCACTGGCCAAGGAAAACTACCCTCATTCACTTCAGCATATGACCTCAAGGATTGATTTTGTTGATTACTAACATGAATATTGAATATCAATGAATCGATTTAGAAATTTTCACCCTGGAGGTGTGTTTACTTATTGTTCACTTTTAGATAGCAGAACTGTATGAACTCGTGAAAAAGTGGAATGACGTGGCTGACAGTCTGCCAATGATAGTGGAACGTCTTAGTACACTAAAATCTCTACATGAGGAAGGTAAGCAGGACTGTGAAGCTTACTGATGGTTCTGCTTTCTCTTTGTGGTAACTATCAATTTTCGTTCTACTATTAATAAAACACATTTTTGAGATAGTAATTACTAATTAGGAGGATCCATGAATGCATTCATAGGATTATGACACCTGCAAATCTATTGGTTAGTTCTGTAATTTAGTCTCAGATATGCTTAACTTGCCTAATTACTTTAACATTTCTGAACATTATTCAACTTAATGGGAATGTTCTTTGGTTTAGAGCGGATTTTTTTCATTATATAAAAAGTAAACCATCTCATGTGGTTCAAATAGAGCCCTTTAACCGTTCAAATACAAAACGGTTTAAGATATATTTGACTAGATAGTAAGAGCAACCTATTAGGTGAAAATTATCATACCTCAGGAACACCTAAATAATCAAATACTCAATCTACTACATACCAGTGGTGACTATACTAGAAATAGGTTGCACGCAGTGTCGCTAGACTATAATCAGCAGCACTTATCTACGAATCACAACTTATCGCAGTTGGGCTATAGTGCAATGCATGACTGGCTACGTGCTCAAGATATAGAGAAGCTAATATGAATCCGCCTAGTTTACGTATCAGTGTGGGTTGTGATTAAGTCTTTTCAAAACAAGCTGGTCAAATTCCTGATTTCAAAACTACAAATCCAAAATATATTAATACATATGAAAATAATTTTACTAGCTTTTACAGAAAACTCCGAGTAAGTAGTACAGTGTTTTTGCCTAGCTTCCGGAATGTCGTCGAAGTTTCTCCACCCAACCTGCTATAAACACTTGGCAGAGTTTAACAAGAAGTCAGTTATGCCCGTTAGCACAAATCCATTATTATAGATGTTTATCTTTAGTGTTATCCAGCAAGAGTGTAGTGCGAAAATGATTGTAAGCGCTCAGACTCTACCGATTAATTAACTGTCAAATTCAACTATACTGTCTAAATCGAATTTTTGTTTTCCTTTGTCTTTTCAGCTTCTCATTTCAGCCAATCTCTTGGTAATATTGAATCAAGTCAGAAAAATGTAGAAGGGAACTTAGCTTCTTATACTAAACTTTTAGAAGAAGTAAGTATTGTTTTATAATTTCCACTTCATTTCAGGTTAAAAATAACGTTGTGAAAAACATGGAAGTCATAAAGGATAATTTCAGTACAATAGAGTCACATTTCTCACAAGAACCCAAATAAATCTTTCACATCAGATATGCTGGCAATTGTTGAGATGCATGACCATTTCATACTCTTTACTTTGGAAACTGATTTTCTCTTATACTTCTCTTTTACACAATGATAACTGGTTACTGGTTTTTTTTAAACAAAATAAAAGCTTAATCGAACATTTATCGTGAAACTGTTATTGCTGGAGAATTGTCTGTTGTGAGAAAGTAGTAGTTGCACACTGCTACTTATTATTGTCAGGACCTAATTTAACGTTTCGTCGCGTAATTCAAAACTCGCTTCATGATACAAAGTCTTCAAAGGAGTTTGAAAAACGTACAGTCTGTATAACTATGCCTACTATCTAATCCAAGTTCAGTAGTAAGATATTGCACCGTTTTCATTTGCTGCAGTACAGTAGTTCACATATTTCTTTTATAAGTAACATGAATCTTGCTAAAAATCATTCTTAGGAGTATTTTACCTATAACTTTTATGTTATTACCGCTATTAATCACTTGACCAAAAGATGTTTAAGGGACGGTATTTAACCGCTGATAGTGTTATAGAAACTGCCGAAGTTATGAGAATGTTTAAATATATATGCAAATTTCTGTTTTAAAGAGACTCACTATTTAAATACAAACCAGATAATAGTGCCATATACTCAGTTGTTTCTCTTATATGAATGAGTATAGAATTTCTCTGTTGACATCAAGCCACTTTCAAATCAATGGAATTAGATTATTGATTAACACTGAGTGCTAAATTGTATTAACAACAACACTAAGCAAGTTTCGTTTCACAACAACTTAATAAATAATTTATATTTCTTTGATAATAACAAAGCTAAAGAGTTTGATTGGGGTTCATAGGAAGATTTTTTTTACTGAAACTGCTATCATCATATGGTGGTGCATTAAGCATGTGGCCATAGAGATCGTCTTCTGTCAATAAGCCTTTTAAAAACTAGTGCTCGACCTTCTGGAGTAGACATTCTAACGGATTCTGACATTTTTCTTTCTCTGCGAGAAAGCAAAATAGTGTTGATTTTCGAGCGGAAAAAGTTTGGTGGACCAAGTCTATGAAAAATCGGTTGCATCATCCTTTCATACGACTTTGGAAGACGATTGTTTCTGTAATTATTGCCAACTCCATTGAGCTTCTGAAAATACGTGAATAAGGAAAAGTTATGAACAACATATATATATATATATATATAAGCATGTGTTGACTACTACATTTCATCCAGAATCATTAGTTAATACGAGGTAATTCAATGGCTTGATATCAAAAGTATCGCTTTTCGAGCCCATTACAGCACACTTAATATTAGAAAACAATAAAAACCGACGCTTGTCAAGCTCAGAGTTCATACCCGACCGATAGCTGCTACCTTGACGTGGTGGTCGGGCTTGCATATAGCAATGACCCAACAAGCTACACTGGCTGGCACATATATGTTCCTGCAGGTCCTACTATGCCAGGAAGGTTGTTAGGATAGCGATTAGACTAAAAGCAGTTACCGGCATTGTGCAGGAATCTTTCTTACACTATGCTGGGGGGGGTCTGAGGGCGAAGTCGTACTGTTGGGAAACAGGGGTGTAACAGCGGTGAGGTGTTTCCCTCAGATGACCAGCATGCCAGCTATGCTGTCTCTGCACTCAGGAGGGAGGGGGTTAGAAACAGTCGACCCCAAAAATTGTACATCCCGACTTACCTTACGGTGGTCCTTAACCGTCGCTAAATTTACTAATACGGAACCAATCCCAGAAACCAGTTAATACAGGACGTGTGTATGACCGGTCTGAAGCAGTTGTCCCCGGGCTCTGCGGTCACGCAACAGTAACCCTCTCTCTGTTTCAGGTACCCGAAGAATTAATCAACTTCCACGGTGTGGGCAGCCGGGAAGTAGCAGCCGCCCACACACTTCTAAAAGCACATGAAGCCTTCCTAAGCATCGTTCCACATCACCTTCATCAGATTTCATACTACCACCTACAGCTTACAAGCGGAGGTTACGAATGTCTTGGTAAAATTGACTGCATCCGGAACTGAGGAACTTAGTCTAATATAGTACACCGTGAAACACGATATATCTACGAGATTACGTATTTTTCGCCAATGCTATTCTATCCTCAGCTGGGATTCTTGGAACCTTCTTAGAAAAAACATATACGTGGTCACTAATGTAAAGTTAGTCGTAATTGAGTCCTGATAGTTATTTTCTTGGTTTCTCGAACAAGTAGACGAATTAGCCTTGACACACTACTTTGGAAGTTTAGCCAACTTGAATATGATGGAGCAGTTTATGCTTCATGATACTGCGAACCGGTTTAACCCTTACTCGCTCATACAGGCTATGCTTGTTTATCCTGCTGATATCAGAAATCTAAAGAATTGGATGACGGTGAATTCACATTTTCAATTGTATTGCTTTGTAAAGTTCAGAACTGATAATCTTGTCGTCCATATGATTTTGATAGTTATACATATATGACTGTTGTCGCTACTGAAGAACTAGATATCAGTAACATCAAGAATCTAATACACTTAATCGGTTTTAAGATGAAAATAATACTGTGGTAATGTGGGGTCATATAACTCTATAATGAACTAATTTAGTTGGTTTGGCACAGCATTGTTGACTGATGTGTGAAACATAAATATCAGTTTCCCATCACTTTGGTTCTTACTGAAAGCAACGATTATTAAATAACACCTTATCGTTTTGTTATGCCAAACCTACTATGGAGTGAAGGGGTCTTACCATTGACATTAATTTAGAAATTTCTACTTATCATCGTCAAAAATGATTCCCTCAAACTTACTTCTGGTTCAAAGTGCCGAACTAGGTTAAAACTACGACAGCTGGATGATTTGCGTAGGATTGAAAGAATAGGACTCCAAACAGAAATATACATCCTGAAGTATGCGGTAATCCGTAGGCACCAGATAGGATCGCAAAAGTACAGGATAAAAAGTACAAAAGATAGCTTACACATTATTCACGAGTTAACAAACTTTGAGGAAGTAACCTCAGTAGCTTTTAAAACGATAACCTACAGCTGCAATAAAAACTTACGGTAGAATAAGTTAGGATCGACTGTGCTGTTGCCCACAAAAACCTCACTCGTTCACTACAGGGGTCATCGTTTATCTGTCGAAAACAGTTGCTTCCAAAAAGACTGCCACTGACGTCTGCATTTTGATGCAAACCCAACTTCTAGCAGGCTTTGCCTAGAGAGTTTCACGAATGCATTTCAGAAACTCCCGGCAAAGTACCTTGAATTACTTCACCATATATTTGCTTACCTGAGGACCCTGTAGCACCACCGGCTGACAATTCGTTACTTTTTTCAATTGAAATGATTCCATATGCGGTAATGTGCTAATTAGATACCCGAACGCACGTGTCGGATGTACACTCTTGAAGTTGAGTCGTTCTAGTTGACCATCGTAACTAGATGGTAGGTCATACAGTGTAGATTGTATTCTGGGGAGATCATAGCCTATTTTTAACTAGCATTGGCAGGGTCATCACCGTTGTGTTAGCCGGAATCCTTCGTCGTCTAATTAAACTTAAACTAGCAAGGCGACTGACTACGAAAAAGAGGTCTACACACTCCGTCCTCCTTTGTGGTTGTGAGACCTGGCCACTGAGAGTGGAAGACATGAAAACACTAGCTGTCTTTGATCATAGGTGCCTGCGCTCTATTTCCCGTGTAAATTGGCATAATAAGGTGAGCAACATTGAGGTTAGGCGTCGAGTGCTATGTAAACAGGGGAAATCAATCGACGAAGTCGTGAAGCTACAAAGACTGAGATGGTTAGGACATGTGTTACGTATGCCAAGCCATCGCCTCCCTCGACGAGCTATGTTAGCGGACATAGGGTCAGGCTGGAAAAAAGCTAGCGGCGGTCAAACAAAAACTTGGCATCAGTCAATGAAATCCACAACAGTTGGTCTAAGCCACGTAGAAAGGTGTAGACTTCCAGGCTGGGGTCCTCGGGACGGTAAAAATCTATGGTTGGAAACAATTGGTGACATGGCTCAAAATCGTTCTCAGTGGCGCAGATGCATCCACTCCCTGTGACTTATGATCTTCAATGAAACTGTTTTGTATTTCTTTATTACTCCTTTGTCTCACACCTCTGTTTACTATGTCTATTATGCTTTTCTTGTATTTTCTTCTCTTGCTTCGCGTGCTACTTGGAGTGTGGCGACTTGAACTTCCGCACATTTGTGCAAAGTTCTATGTCGAAAACAGACAGACAGAGACACACTCAAAACAGTTGACCCTAACGCATAGCGCTCCAATTTTGATTACCAATGACTCTTCTAAAGGAACGGAGTCTTCGCCACATGACTGGATATAGGATTTTCGCAAGACTTAAAACAGCTCTTGTGGATGATTGTGAAGATAAGACACAGTGTTTCTGCAGGTTTCAAGACAGAACGGTATGCACCATTCTATATCAACTTTGGTACTGTTCTGCTGCTATTCCGGTCAACAAATTGATGCTACCTTTACGTGATGGTCGGATGTTCCTATTACAATGGCCTAGGAAGGTATACTAGTCGAACTGAGTTAAAACGGAGTGTTACTGTTTTTGTGGTTGGCATCTAACTTCACTACAGTGAGCTTCCACTCGCAACAATACAACCAACTGATCACCTGGAGAATATTCCCCACACTGAGGTGGAGGCAAAATCCAGATTTAACGGTGACAACGACAATTTTATTATTCCAAAAAGGGCATATGTGTATCGTTTACACATCCACGGGAATGCAAACCATAAATTAATAAGTAATATCTGATTGATTGTATGACCCTGAAGATCTGGAAATGAATCAGTCAAAAACTGTCGAATAAGACTATCATGTAATTACATGCATTAAGCATGACTTTACGGTTAACGACGGCAGGTTACATATTCCCGCTGGTCCTACCATGACATAAAGGTCGTTTTTATAGCGGTTAGATTAAAGGCAGTTACCATCTCAGTGCGCTTATGCTACGATATAAAGGCCTGTGAACGAAGTGGTACTGTGTGTGGACAGATGTAGTGGCAGCAAAATATTTCCGTCGGATATCCAGCAAGTCGGATATGTTGCAGATATAGTCATCCTAGCAGAGGATTCTTACGTCAGTTGCAGTTGAGTCAGTTCCAAAAGCATATTGGGGTATCTAAAGAATCGCATGCTGAATAATTACATCGGTGACCATCTTCTAAAAGTCTGCCTTGATGACTACATGTTCCTAAAAAGTACCAATTTTAAACATAAGGAGGCATTAACTCACCGGACGACCGCCAACATCAAGGTTGAGATACTATTTAACAACAAATTGCGTTTCCACGGTGTTTGTAATGAGCCACAACTACTGTATGGCAGCCACCGACACTATCTAGCAACTCTAACCTCAATAGATGCAGTGGAATTGAAACCTGTGACACAGTGGTTAGAAGCCTCAACAAGTGATCCACAGATAGATAAAATAATCAAAGGTACAACTAAACAATCTAGCCATAAATTGTCCATAAAAAGGATGCATGGAAGACTGCTTTTCCTTATGGAATACTTGCCATGAATCTCAAAGCACGCCAGTCAGTGCACGTCTACTACTGGACAGGCATAGAAGATAATTTGTTGAATATGCCCACCCGTTCACTCATTTGAGATAGGGCACCGGACCTAAGGGGTGAGTTTCTGAGTAAATCCCAGCGCGGATACAAAACTTTAGTTGGGTAACTCCCGACATTGCAAGTATGTACACTGTGCAGCAGTATGTCGCGTTTTTTACAGATGATATTTGTCTACTCAAAGTGGAATATTTGAGAAAATAAGCGTTGTCATTGGATTTCCTGTCTCACGCTATATAACACGGTCAATAATAATGGCGCTAGATGTACGGCATTACTTAAGGGCTGAAGGTTAATCGGTAAAGTTGTGTCAACTGAGATGACCGAGACAAGTGCTGCGAATGTGGAGGCACTAACTTTCTCAACAAACTGCTACCTCGTAGCCAGCTAAACTTTGGAGCGCTTTTAGTGGTCCAATGATTATGAAGACAAGATAGGTTTTTATGAATATATAAGAACCCAACAGTCAGTGGCCGAGAATGGGAAACCACTTCTATAGGAAGAGTGAAATCAATTTACAAAGTTAACATACACTAGTGTAGACAGTAAATAACTATATCATTGTTGCAGTAATAAACACCCATTCACTTCGTCAAAAATGAACTCAGAATCATCCATGACATTCCCAATTGACGACTAATATCTCTACGCGCAAAGGATATACTGTTGCGTTTTTCAGTTTCCGAAAATAAGACATTTACGGGGTTTTTCAAGGTGAACCAATGCCTAACCATGGTTTGCAATACGCCGGAGTAAAGCAGCAAATCACAAAACTAGTTGAGCAATCAATAAGCGGGGAAACTTAGGACTTTTTCGACATCTGTGAATGTTGAATGACGAACATAACCATTCGTGTAATCACTAACTGAACACACGTGAGTAACTTCTGAAGTACTTCCTGTTTCTAAACAAACTGCCCATAGTTTACCATACGACCAATTAGTTACATATTAATATCCATGGAAGATCCCAAAAAATTGTTATTTAGGTAAGGTCCTTATATATAAAACCGTACTATTATAATATTGGATAGTCAGTGAATTTGTTGTTCTTTTGAATTATTCATAAAATAATGCCGATTAGGCGATTTCGATTTCACCTGATAATTTTTTAAAAGCCCAACTAAGTAATGCGTATTAGTGTGCAGTCTTTCCCTTCATTTATAACCTTCTTAAGCTGGAAAACATACTTGATGCTCGCCCCAAGGTTAACCAAAGGTCACAGCAGTTCAATATCCGACGGTTTCACTACTAGCTCGTATAAACAAGTTTATTTTTTTGCCCACATCTCTTCGTGGTGGTCGAACGAGTACTTTTCCAAAGTTTACTTCAGCGTTGACAATGTCCTCAACCAAATGATGTAATTTCGGTAGTTTTTAGTGTAATTAGAGGTTGTGTAATATTCCCTGCCAAACGTCATGTTGTTATGATCCACCCGCCAGCTGTTCACCCTGTTTGGCAAAATATAGTAGAACAATCATAGAAAATAACAGCAGGGGAAGTCAAGTTATTTACTGGACATACTGCGAAGTGGAATAGTATAATTTTCTGTATGACGATCCCAAAAAATTTGTTACTCATGATCGTAATGACGGTGAGTAAAAAATTCGAAAATCGACTGTAAAACGATCATTTTTTTATTCCACACCGTATTTTTGGTAGAAGTACGAAATTTTCAGTATGTGATATCGGTAGCCCAAATTTCGCAATCCGACCATTGACATCAGGTGTGCGTCGGCAGGGGATCGAACACCACACCATGTGCATTGTCGGCGAGAATTCTAACCAGTGTGCCACCGACGCACATATCATCCACAGGCATCATCTAAAAAATAACGTTGTTTCTCTGTGTGGTACATGTAACAAACAAACTATCAAGGAATCTCCTATTTCCGAACTCCCAGAGTTTGGCTGCAATTAGGGTTTTTAATGGTAGTTCATTGTTAACGACTAAAGACTGCATTTCAAAATAGAGCTGATTGGAGAAAAAAGTGTCCCAGGCCTTTAGAGGTTTGACCATAAAGTGAGTGATAGTCCCACCATGGAACCTTCGTGTATCGTTGTAGCAGGTTTACCGTGCTCGGTAAAAGCTGGGTGTCAAAAGCTCACAATAAGTTGTTGGGTTTTTCCCAACCCACAGCGATAAAGTAAATGATTCTAGCTCTCATAGTCTTTCGTCATGCTGTTTACTGTGATTGCCTACAATGACTTTTGTTTTTCACTTTCACAACCTTCGTATTCCCTTGGGCTCCTTGTATTTCCTTTCACTTTTCACGCGTGATAGTTTCAGTATACTGAATATTTACTTTGGGGCTTACTTTGTTTCCTTGCTGTAGTAAAATTTGGATGTTTCAGAAGATGAGGATTATTTTACACAACAATTTCTAATTTCATACGATAAGGAATTTCATGGTTCATAGATTCTTACTGAGAAAATATTCTCAGTGTTGTTATGGACTGCTCATTTATGAGTTACATGTGACTTGTGTTAGAGGGAGAAACAGTTCTCACATGGACATTACATATAGTCTGTTAGTCCTGTCATAAATGGTTGTTCAGAATCCCTCAGTAAGTGGTTTGTTTATGACCACTTACTACCCGCCATACCTCTTGATGTCTTTGCAGTTCTTTTGACAAACAGACAGTACCTGAAGTGTGGCTACATCTCTCGGAGGTTCCCGCCATCGCGTCCTCCCCGCTGAGTACCCCTTGTAACCTCCTAGCCACGGATATTATGTCTTCAAATATTAGTGACCCGACACCAACATTATTACTTCGAAGTAAATAATATATTCAGTCAATCACCAAATGACTTTCAGAAACTTATAACAAGGAGAAGAATATTTCAGACGTGCAGGTAATACCGGACTACTTTCATCAATCCGAGTCAGCTTCACAAACGCCCATAACTGGACAATCCCACACACTGGCGGCTCATGTTGCCTACTAGGCCAGGCGCGGTTAATTTTCGGCGGGAACCTGAGTTCTCTCATAACGTTTTTCCAGCGTATTCGTACC